CATTGTCTCCGGACTCTTTGGCTTAATTGTTCCCTGCTGGGCTGTGTTGCTCCAAGCCACGCTCAAATCTCAAGTCTGTGCCAGAGGATTAGACACGATGGTGATTGCTGAGGGCGGAGAGCATCCTACTGTGTGCCAGGCACAAGCGTCAGCACTTGGAAGAGACAGGGCCTGGGGGAGGTGGCCAGGGAGGACTGCTCCCTTGGGAAGGGCTGCCCCCACCTGCCCCTCCATGAGCAGCACGCCTGGACCTGGAGCTCCTTTTCAGGTGCCCAGTGCTCCTCAGCATCAATTCCTGTTTTGCCAAATAGTTGTTTTCTTTCTTTTTTCTTTTTTTGCAGTTCTGAAGATTGAACCTAGAACCATCACTCTGAGCAATATAGCTCTCTCTCTCTCTCTCTCTCTCTCTCTCTCTCTCTCTCTCTCTCTCTCTCTGGTACTGGCGATTGAAGTCAGGACTTGGCTTGTCAGGCATGCACTTATTCTTCTGAACTGTCTCCCCAGCCCTACCCATCTCTGTATTTTAGGGAAGGGTCTACAGGGTGCTCAGGGTCTCACTACTAGATCGGACTCATAGTGATCCTCCTGTTTATAGCCTAACAAGTGCTGGGATTACAGGTGTATGCTAACATGCCCAGTCTCAGTTGCCATCTCAGCATGCCTCTGGGGCAGAGCCGACATGGCAAGCCCTGGGATCGAATCCCCTGCCCCTGCGCCTGCTTGTAGGTGCTTTAATCTGTTGAGCTATTCTACTGGTCCTCTTTTTAACATTTTAAAAACTGGCACAGTAAATGCTAAGCTTCCAGGCTGGTCTCAAACTTGCAATTCTCATGCCTCGGCCTCCATGGAATTATAGGCATGCACCCCCATGCCCAGCGTGGAATCAGCTTTTCAGTACACCCAATTCCATGTGTCCTGGGTTTCTGGAGCAAGCTGCTGCTGCTGTGGTATCACAAGGGAGACAGATGAGGTCGCATCCTGGGAGATGGCTGTAATTACAACGCGGGCAGACTGGGAGCAGACTTGCAATGGTGGGGTCTGAGCAGGGCCGCCCGCACTGGAGCACTGGGGGAAAGTTCTTCCCAGAGCCACACGGGCCCAGCTAGCCAGTGCGCCTGGTATGGGCTCCCTGTCCTTATCATTAGTCCCTACGCTGGACTCTTTCTGCACACGTGGCCAGGGGAGCTGATGCACCATGATGGAGACCAAGAGCTCTCCAAATGTTGCCCAAAGGCACCTCAAAGTCACCAGGCCTTCAAGGATCTTGGTTTCTATTCTGAACAAAGTATTGATAAACACAACCTCCAAAAGCAAAGGCTTTATAGCTTCTCTTAATAGTTTTTAAGAACTTAAAAGGGTTTTGAGGAAAGGAGGTCTGGGAACTGATGTAAAACTTTCTAATGTTTAGTCCATGGCTTGCCACATAGCTAAGCAGATCTGAAAGTACTTCCTAAAGATTCTCTATGGCATTTTTTCAAGTTTCAATAAAATCTACCTCCACAGGCAAGCTGGTCCAAGGTGGACAAGGGTGATGCTCAGTCTTACCTCTCTGGCCTTCAACGATAAAGAGCAACACTAAGAACACTTCTGCATCTTGAGAAGCTGCCTGAAAAATCCTGCTCACTATATTCTACACAATACAAATATTTACGTAACAAAAATTTTACCTAAAGAAAAAGTCCTCATAATGCCTTATTAGTTCTCATACCTCATTACTTCTTAACTTTGCCTCTGCTCCCAAGAAACAAAGAGCTCAATTTTGTGTTCATGACATAAATGACAATGAGTGTGAAATAAGGCAAAAAACAAAAGAGAATTGTTTTTTAGTTCTACAGCTAGAAGCCCAGGCCTCGAGAATGCCGAGCACACACTCCAGCACTGAGCTACAGCCTTGATTAACAGTTTTTATTTAACTCCTCATGAGCCTAAAAGGGTGATTTCCACCAAAGATGAGAATTCAATTGTTAAAGAGAAAACAGATTTTGTGCACAAGTGCCAGAGAATGTTTTGGAAAAATGAAGGGTTTTTTTGGGTTCTGTGTTTTTTTTTTTTTTTTTTTTTTTGCAGAACCGGGGATTGAACTCAGGCCCTTGGGCTTGCCAGGGAAGCACCTATTCCACTGAGCCATCTCCCCGGCCCCTGGGCTCTGGAGATAGTAAGGAGTTGCTGTTGGCCTCGAACTGGGCGACACGCAGGGACATTGCAGCCTTTGCACTCTTATCTCCTCAGCCTTCCTAGGATCACCTGTGCTTGTCATCCCACCATACAGGAGCCAGTCACCCAGACACCGCTTCACATGACTTCACCCTGTTTAGTAATCTCGTTGTCCTGTTTGCTGTGCAAATGGACCCTTTAACCTCTGATGGCTGCAATCCCTTACTCCGAAAATACTTAGGCAAAAGCAGCTTTAGTGAGTCTGTTGGGAGTTCACCTGGAGTCCACAATAATCCTATGATATATACAAATCATGTGCCAATTTTTTGTCATGTGGTGCATATTTTAGGACTATATAGAAATATAACTCTTAAGAGGATTTCTGGTCCTCAAAAGTGACATGCCAGGGTGAACAAGTGCATAGCTTTCTCATACAGTATTTATTGTCAGAATTCTTTTTTTTTTTTTTTTTTTGGTCAGAACTGGGGATTGAACTCAGGCTCTTGCGCTTGCCAGGGAAGCGCTTATTCCACTGAGCCATCTCCCCGGCCCCTTATTGTCAGAATTCTTAACTGTAAGCAACTTCTGCTAGTATTGAGAACCACTAACTCTTGACAGTCCCAGAAAACTACAGAACCAGGGAGCTGAGCACCACTTTGGAGAAAAATCTCATGCAAACTATGAATACCTCAGAGATATGACCAGTTCCCAGCATCTTCCCCAAGAAGAAACACACATGCTGGAATCTCTTTTATTTGAACATTCAGAGATCAAAGCACAGTAACTTAGGAAAAGTTCTCAGAATGTCAGCAACAGCAGTAAAGAGACCTCTCTGGCTTTTTATACGGAGCCATTAACAGTGAACACAGTGCCCCTCATCTGCCTTCAAAGTGAAGAACAAGGCCCTCCCCCTGTAGTGCATAAACACGCACCGGCGGAGAGCGCTAGCTTTTGTGCCATGGGTAGTTAAGAAGGAGATGAGCACAGGAGACCTGGAAGGAAGGAACCAAAACAAGAACAGGAAGGACATATAGGCAGGCACACATGGGGAGCGCTGGTCTCTTCAGGAGACCAAGAAGATCTTCAGAATGTTGCTGAAGAGAGAAGATAAGCAAGGACAGAAACCTGGGCAGCTCCACTGCTGCTATTTGCATTACATACAGGGAGGCCAAGCAGCGCTGGGCCTGCCCTGAGCTCAGAATCAGTTCCCTCTCCACTCACCCTGTATGGAGCAAACTGTCTTGCACCGATGGCCTTCAGAGCTCACACCGAGGGAACAGGGGCACTGTAGAGACTATGCCTCCGCTTTGGCCAGTATGGCTGATTTGCCTCTGTGCTATAAATATATTCATTTTAAGTAAGTCTACCTGCTCTCAAAAATGGGTCAGAAAAGAGCAATTATTCAATGGGTGGGGTTTTGTTTTTTGTGACTCATCTGGAGGCTGATTTGATGTCCACTCAATTAAAGGCCTATGTCTGAAGAAACTGGTGCTAGGAACTTAGACAGAGATATTAAACAGTTCCACAAGAAAAATATACAACTAGTTTTTAAAAAAAACCATGAAGATTTTAAAAGTTAAAATTCCACACATTAAAGTCTAAAGATCAACACTAAACTGGTTATTGACTTACAAAATAAGTAAAAATTGAGGTAATGCATTACTTTTCTTTTTTTTTTTTGGTGGAACCGGGGATTGAACTCAGGCCCTTGCGCTTGCCAGGGAAGCACTTATTCCACTGAGCCATCTCCCCCGCCCTGCATTACTTTTCTATAACCAACCTTATATGATTATAAAAGCTTTCATTTCCTTCCCATCCTTAGTGTTAGATACACTCAAATGCATGGAAGACCTATCTAGATTCAGCTCCAGTTACAGGGAGAAGGGCTGGCTATTAAGAGAGGATTTACCCTTAATTCAAGTAACAGTTTTAAATCACTATGTACAGCAGCACACCACCACCACTTTACGGATTTCAGTAATGAAAAACTAACAGTAACCTCCCACAAGGACTCGCACTGTCCCTGTCAACTGCTCCTGTGGCTCAGGACGTGCAGCACTTTCTGCACCTCCTCTCCTCATGGTCATCTTTCCTCCCCTAGCACAGGACATATTTCATAAGTGTTCAAATAAAGACCACATTCTTAACAAAAGCAACCCTGACCCCCTGCTCTTGCCCCAATCTACCTACTGAAAACAATCCCTCATCTGTGCTCCACGGCACAGCATGTGTAGGAGTGTGTGCAGGTGTGTGATTTGTGTATTACTGCCTATAGCTGTGAGTGATTTTGTGTCTGTAATTGTGTGTAAGTGCATGTGTGTGCGTGCACCTGGGCAAGTGTGACTGGGCCTGTGTGAGCTCACTTGGCATGAAGGAAAAATTCACTAAGATTCACCTGTGATGTAAAGCCTCGTTTCCAAAATCAGAAATGAGGTTAACTTTGTGTTTCTGGGCTTCCCAACCTCTAACATTTTTCTAATTTGGGGAAAAACACCAAACTTATAAATGAAGCACCACGTCCCAGGTGTACAACAGGCAGCCACTCTCCTGGTTCCCCCACCTTCTGCCAATCCAGCTCACCCCAGCCTATGTCTAGAGCGATGCCCATCGTAGACAGTGGTACAGGGCCTGCCCACCTGGGGCCTCAGGAAACCGTGGGCGGGGTGGGAGGCATCCCAACGGCTGCAGACTTGTGGAGCACCAAGAGGAGGGCAGCACTGCAGGAGGCGGGCCCGGGGTGGGCAGGGCTCACAAGGCGGCAGGTGGGCCACGGACCTCGGGGAAGCACAGGTCTGGGGGCGGCCCAGGTGCGGTCCTAGCGCGGTCTGGTCGCAGGCCCGCATGGCTCACAGTGTGCTCAGGTGCGGCAGCGAGCCCAAAGGTCCGGCGCGGTCGCGCGCGGCGGCTGCCGACTCCACACCGCGAAGCCACTCGGTGCACTTGCGCACCAGGCCCTCGTCGCGGCCCTCGACTTCCTCCTCGTACTCCACGTCGTCGTACTTGTGCCGCTCGTTGAGCAGCGACACCGGCAGCACAGGGCGTGGGTCTGGGGCCTGCACACCACGGGCAGCGGGTCGGCGAGTGGACGCGCGCCGCGGGTCCACGGCCGGCGCGGGGAGGGGTCTGCGGGGCCGGGCCAGTAGCTGTTTCTCCAGGTGGCGCCTCTGGATGACCAGGATGGCCTCAGGGGTGAGGCTCAGGTGGAAGCGCGTGGCGCCGTCCATCCTGGGCCCCGCCGAGATCGCAGCCGGGCTGTGGCCGGAGCCCACGGGCCGGGGCGTGGCGCACGTGGCTGAGGTCTCGGCGCGGCCGGGTGAGGCCAGGGGCGGGGCGCGCTCGGGGGCCGGCGGCCTTTTCAGGGTGGCTGAGGGCCAGGAGCTGGAGAGGAGCCCCTCAGACATCTCGAGGGGCCGTCTCTTCCTTTCTTCCGTGCTGGCGGCCGGCTGCACACAGGGCCTGCGAGGAGGCGGACGCGAGGCGGGGACCCCCGGAGTGGACGCGGGCGGGAAGGGCATGGTGCGCCGAGCTGGCTGCTGTCAGCGCCCTGGAAGGAGACCGGCGGGTCTTAGCCCAGAGCACCGCGGGCCCGAGCCCCTGTTACCCCATCTGTTGCAGAACGGCCAAGCCCGCTACACCCACCTGCGTTCAGCTGCAGAATCTCCAGCCCGCGGACCTGAAGCAGCGGCACCGCCCACCTCCCCCCGCCCCTTGCGGCTCGGGGCGCTCCTCCACCCCGGGCTCCGGGCTGAACCCTGCGAGCGCCCACCAAACGCGGGGCCGCCGGCGAGTCCTGGCGTCTCCCGGTCCGCTCCGCAGAGATGCGCCAGGCTGGGCCGGCGGCGGGAGGAGGAGCTGCCGCGGTCGCTAGGGGCGCGGGCCTGACAGGTCCTGGGCTGGTGTCACCGACTGGGAGACAAAGTGCCAGACAAGAGGCAGGGGCGGCAGCTGGGGCCCAGCGCCTCTACCCCTTCACCCAGCCCAGCTGGCCCTCCCATCAGAAGTGGGGAGCGGGTCCCTGGGGGAACCCGTGGTGCTTAGCACATTGGAGAGAAAATCTTACGACATGGTGGGAAAGAGATCGCGGATCAATGTGGTTGTGCCAGCTGCACGTTCTGGAATCACCAAGGAGTCTCATGGGGTGCAGGGAGTGGGGTTCACTGAGTCATTTGTGGTTCACTTACAGTTAATGCCACTCCTTAAAGAGTTGTTTTAAAATAAAAAAAAAACCTATTTTACTATACAAACCCAATTATAACTTGGTAAAGGTTTCAGCTTCATAACGATGTCACAGAAAACAAGGAACAGTTTTAATGATTATTGAAAGCAAGTTTCACTATCACACCAGATGATTACAAATGAGTATTTACCATCAATGTGTATCTTGGTTTCAGAGGCACTAAAATATTCCTACATTATACTTACTTTTATCGAATAAATCAAAAAGATTCACAGGACCAGTCCCTGTATTACACCTAAGGATAACCATCAACTGTTCAGTTCTCCAAAAATTACTTTTTCATACCAGCAGCTTGCCTGGGTGAACCTGGGTACAAAGTCAGACTGTGAGGGTTATGGCCCTCGGTTAGGTCAGAGCATATGCAAATGTGAGTAAACTGGTGGCCCCTACTGGGTCAGAGCAGCATGGCACCCTCTCCCTCCTCTGTTCTGCAGCAGACAGCTGCTGGATAGAGTAGTCAAGCAAATTTGAGAGGTGGCAAAAACAGTTCTCACCAGACTGGGGGATGGGGCTGGCCATGACTTCTGCCAGCCCCTCAAAATCAACCGGTATTTACATACTCTGAATGAACTTCAGAGACACTTTCAAAACTGAATGCTGGGTCACAGGAGACTTCAACTCTGTCAAGGCCTCGGGGATAGCCAGCCTCTGCCTGTAGGCTCAATTTAAGTCCTAAGGTGCTGGAAACACACAGGGTCTCATTCCAGGTTACAGTGTTTAGGAAGGTATGGGAATTGGCGTGTGCCAGGAAAGGATGAAGGGGGTAGGGGGCTTGGGATCAGATGCCATTTGATCTGGGGGCACAGTTCAAGAAGAAAATCAACTAAAAGCTGGATAACAGCATGTCACCTGTGGACCCAAGCAATTCAAAAGCGGTGCTGGAGCCCAAGATAACATGCAAACTATAGTCTGCTTCTCTCAGTGGGCTGACAGATTGTGTATGTACTAACTCTTAGGGTGCTACAGCAGTGGAAGTGAGAAGGGTGAGAGGCAGGGGTGGCCAGGCAACTTCCTAATACTAAGAGCTTTTTCATATTCAAGAAAGTCTATGAGACTAGCACTCCCATTTACATTTCTGTATCTATTGTACTGAGAATGTGAGGCACCAGCCCAACACCACCCAGCTCAAGGAGCTTCAATTCCAGGAATGTGAATCCAAATCCAGATGGGACCATCATGCTGAAGAAGGAAAAGCCACCTGGCAGGGGGCTGGACCTTGTGAGCTTCCACCTCCAAAGGAGTAGAAATCTGGGTACATGTGAGCCAAGAAAGTAAGTTTTTTCAGACTGTTGTACTATTTATTTTCTTTTTGAGACACAGTGTTGATATGCAGATCAGGCTGACCTTGAACTCCTTTGTAGCCCAAACTGGCCTTGAACTTGAAGTAATCCTCCTGCCTCAGCCTCACCAGTGCTGGGATTACAGGTATGTGCCACTACACCTTGCCCAGACTGATGTACATGAGAACCAGACCAGGAACTGGGATTCTTCATGCCTTCCCAGATGGCTGTCCCAGCCCAGAAGCTGGGAAGCTGGGAGTTGGCCTGCTGCTTGAGAGTCAGAGACATTTTGGCCTTTCAGAAGTTAGAAGAGTGGCTTGGCCTGGAAGGGAGCACAGGAAAACAGCACTAGCTGTTTAGTGCTGAAGTCACTGACATCAACTGTCACATGCAAGGCCAGCCAGTGGCAGCTACAGCAGGAAGATGACACCAAGAAAGTGACCAAATAACTTTAGGATAGGAGTTGTACTGCAAAGTGATGAGTTAAAATTCTCAAAATTTAAAATTTAAAAAGATGGCCATGCCTACTAATTCCAGTTACTCAAGAGACTGAAGCAGAAAGATTCAAGGTCAGCCTGGGTAACTTAGGTGACGCTGTCTTAAGATAAAATGTCTTTAGTGTGGAGTATGGTTGTGTACTCTAGGTATGAGTTGACTAGGCTAACTGGCAGCTGACAGGCATGTCCACTGTCACAGCTGAGGTCCACATTCAGTATTTTTCACCTGAGCCACTGGAAATTCAACAACAACTTCAGAGAAGCCTTGAAAACATTTTCATGGTTTAGTTTTAAACTTCAAGAGATGGTATCATCTGTGTTTATGGGGAAACACAACACAAAGTCCAAGGTTCTATTCTGGGGATAATAAAGATAAGGCAGCCTTCAAACATCAATGTGAGTTCTTCCTTCGACTCTGCCCTAACTGCTGGTGCTGGTCCAGTTGCAAGGTCCTCCACTTGACCTCCCCAGCTCCTGGAACCCTGAGTTCCTGTCAGTCATCTGGGTCATTGGCATACAAGGTCCTACACCAGGGTCTTGCTGTGACAGCTGCCACAAATCAGTGTGGCCAGAACCCTGAGGGATGAAGACACACCCAACACTGCTGATACCCGCCATGCATGGCCTACCCTCAGCAGCCTGCACCAATGATGCCCGAGCCCTGACATGCTTCCCTCTGTGGTTCACTGTGGGGTCACCCAGGCACTGAGACCACTATATCCCAAAGAATCAGAGATGTATAAAATCAGTCTCTTCTGCATTTTACTGCAGTCCACTTTCACAGACATGATGGATGCCCACCCTTCTTTGGTAGCCTATACACTGAATGGTGGCCAGCACTGTCCATGCTCTTTTGCTTCCCACAAATCCAATGGCGTCAAAGCCAGTCCAACCTCAGCTTTAACTTTTCTTTTCTTTTCTTTTTTTTTTTTTAATGTATTTGGTACCAGGGATCGAACCCCAGTCCCTGCATTTGCTTAAGCAGGCACTTAGCTCACAGAGCCACGTCATCAGCCCTTACCTTCTTTGAGATAAGCAATTTGAGGCCTAGAGTGAAATGCCTGATCAGGTTTAAAAAGAGGTGGGTAGGCACCACCCAGAACTCCATGCTGAGGGCAGGCAAACCTGCTCAGAGTTCCCTGCCCCAGCTTTAGTGCTCCTTCCTCGGAAGTAGCTGCTGAACTTCACGAGAGCAGCGTCTCATGTGTCCATGCCAAAAGTTATCAACATTTAGGGATGCTTTTGAGGCTCCAGAAAAAAACAATGGAACACTCAACGCAGAAACACTACATTGTGCATCATGGGGCCGTGGTAGGTCAAAGTGACCATGAAGCCCTAAAGCCTACCACGGCCCCCTGCTGCGGCCCCCTGGCATGATTTCTCAGGGCGACTCCTTGCACATTCATGGGAACGGACCTTGGTGCCAGCCACACCGCATCAAGCACACACTAATGTGTGCTCGTCAACTGCCATTCCTGCTCCTGCTGTTGGCCAGCTGGATAAGCACCTAAGAGGTAAGGAAGGAGGACACAGAAGAGGAAAGGCAGGGTAAGGACAGAGCACACACTGTCACGCTCAAGCCTTTTTTTTTTAGGAGAACACAAAATGGTAAAAAAAAGAAAAAAATTAAGAAATGTTACAGAAGTTCACCAAACAAAATAATAGGAATTCAACATGTTATCTTAAAACTAGTTCAGATTACCAGATATAAACATGCAAAACTGATTTTAAAACATTGTAAGAAATTAAAGAGAAAAACATTTAAGCATTAAGTGCTCCTTTCACTAGACCAGCAGAGGTGAGCAGTAGTTACCCAAGCCAGCCTGCAGACATAAATGTATCTTTTTCCCTTCTTTGTTTTGTCCTTTCCCTCATCCCAGCACACTGCACATTTGACTCAGAAGCCAGGGGGCCCTTCGGTAAAGCCCAGCCTGAAGAATCCCGCAGGCGCTTAGACTCACACGTGTCCTCTCTGGCCTCAACAGAAGCTGAATTTTAACTACCTTGCTTAAGTGGCATCCACACAAAAAGAAGCTGTGGCACAGGCTTCGGCTGGCCCTGTTCAGGGTGGAAAATGCAGCCAGGCTCCCGCTCTTTCTAGGGCGCTCTGACACCTGTCCTCCCTGCCCTGCATCCTTGTAGGGGTGGAGACGGGCAGGCTCAGCTGGACAGGGACTCAAGTGCCGAGCTAAGAGCACCGTCTCCTGCCCCTGCACAGGAGCACAGCAGGTCCCCGGCTCTGAGGCTGGTGCAGGGCTGTGCTCACAGCTCGCTCCCCAACCCCAGCAGCCCAGGTCTTCAGATGTGGGCCACTGTCACCATCTCTGGGCCGGCTCTGAGAGCATCGTTTTCAGCCAGGAAGCCTGAGAGCTCCAGCAGGGTGAAACCACATCTGTGTTCTGGCACATCTCTTCACAGCCTCTGAAGATTTAAGAACCTACTTCTGTCCTGGGCCGGGTCCCACTCCACAGAGGGACTTTACCCAAAGGTGCTCCATGTTCTCCCTGAGATGCTTCTTACCCGCTCCGCACACACCAGGGTGGGTCCGAGGCACATATTGCCCCAACTGTAACTCTGCAGAGCCTCCACTCTAACTTCTGCTCCAGGCAGGATGGGTGTGTTACTCTCTGCGAGTGATCTGTGCTCTGTCCTGTGTAGCTCTTGCTCAAGGACTCCAGAGTTCAGCAGCGAGGGTGCCTGGAATTCAGGTTTTCTAGCTGATTCCTACTTCTTTCAAATGGATTCCTAGAAGGCCCCACTTTTGGTGAGGCTAACCCTAGCCCAACCAATCAGAAAGCATTTCAACTTAAAAGTCAACAGCCATTTCTCAGTGGCATTCCCAGTTGTTTTCTTCCCTGTGTAATGTTCCTGCCTCATGTTGACAGGGAAGCAGACAAGATGATTGACAGGCACAGCACAGCACACTGGACGGCAGGAGTGGATGTCTCTCACACATCCTGGTCACCCCTAGTGTGCACCAACAGGGCCATATCAGGCCCACCGCGGGTATGTAGCACATGACAGCTTTTCCCCAATGTGTTCTGAGTGCTAAGCTCTTATCGTATTACTGCCATTTGCTAATTGTCTAAAGCAAAACTGGTCCCTTGGAGTGTGTTGTCCACAACCTGTTTCCTGCATCACTGGCCCCACCTCCTCCACACCAGCCCCCTCCTCCACTCAGCGGTTGCCACGGTCTGCCCTACAGCTAGTGCCCTACATTCCACACCCCAAGGGACCCTGAGGAGCCTCTGTAGCAGCAGTCCCCACTGTGACAACTGACACCTCCTTGGGGCCAAGCTGTAGAGCTGTCCTGCACAGTACCTCCTCATCCCTCAGACTACTCTTCCTTGCACCAATGGAGGAGGATGGTAGCCAGTAGGCTCAACTTCTGCCATCCTTGGGTCTGAGCCTGGCCAATGCTCCACTCTGTTATAACAACAATACTCTCAAGCACTCACAATGTCCCAGCAATCATTACTCTGTCCTATAAGGATACATCTCCACGAGGATCTGCCTGCTGTCCCTGGTTTACCAGGCTAACTATGCAAAAGTGATTTTTCAGTGGCCCGCTTCCCTAACCAATCTCACTAGCCTGAGATCGGACCACCTTCTCTTTGCACTCCAGTACCACACTGGCTGTACCTACTTGGCCCTTCCTGTTGAACACTGGCTAGGCTAGGGTCAGTGCACGAGGGAAGAGAGGCGTCAGGCTATGGCTTCTCCCTCTCTGCCACCTCTCAATAGCCTCCAACCCCCAGTCCTGTGATGGTCTCCTGCTCTGATCCCCATTTCAGGGTAAGGCAGCTTCCTGTTTTGGCTGGTACCAGGGTCACCTCCCTCTGCCAGCACCTTTGTGACCACTGCCCCACTTACATTCCTTCCAGACTGCCTCGCTAGCGCTGTTTTCAGGGCCGATGCCTTTCCCACACCTGAACTACTTAAGACAGAGTCTGTATATTCTTTGTCTACATAAAGATGACATGAAAAAAATTTAATTTAATTTTATTTATTTATGTGTGTGTGTGTGTGTGTGTGTGTGTGTGTGTGTCCAGCTCAGCCCACCAGGGGGCGGGGCTGGCTGGCATGTGGTGCTGGGGGATTGAACAGCGGTCCCTGTGCTTTGCTAAGCTTGTTCCAAGTAGCTCCTTTAGACCATTGAGCCATCTCACCAGCCCCGAAAAAAATTTATTGAATCACTTAAAATATTATAAATTCAATCCAGAAAATGTTATTTTTCCAAGAATGGGTTTATTTTAAAATTGTAAAGATATATATATTATTTTTATTACATGTATACAATAAGGAATTTTAAGCATAAAGCACAAAGCTTCACATTTTTAAAGTTAAAAAATGGGTATCTCAAAAATGTAGATTTTTTTAAAAGCCAAATAATCTGCATACATCTCACAGCATAGATTTATCCCTTAAATATTCACATTTCCAAAGCCCCTTTGAAAAGATTTAAAAAACTGGCTAAAGAGTATTTACAATTGACAATGATTAAAATCTCCTCATCTTTGGAAGATCGTGTTAATAACACACAGTACAAAGCCAGGTGCGTGGAACACTCTAAGAGTGGTTTTACCAGGACACAAAATGAGCCTGTGACGCCGCTGGAGTGATCACTGCACCAGGAACAGCCCCCTGCACAACAGTCCACCACACTCCAATGTTCCTTCCCAGGAGATGCTTCTGATTTTTAACTTAGGATAGAAGAGCAGCATTTAAGTACTGCATCCCTGGTGAAAAGGAGGGAAAAACCAGAATGTAGCAACATTTCTCAAGAGCAAATCTGTAAAATGAGTTCCTACCAACTACAGCCTCTTTGCCTGGAACTCACTGGACTCTTCCATGGCTTTTAATTAACTAGAACTTTGCTAAAAAAAAAAAAAAAAAACTCAGACTAGAATATGTTGCCAAAATGGGGTTTACCTAAGAAATTTTCTCCAGCATACATGCTGATCTTAATACAAAGAAAAAGATTTTAAACACCAATAATAGCCTAACAAAAGAACTAACTTTGAAAAAGAATGAATGAACTAAATTTTATGTTTTATTTTGTTTCTAGTTTCTTGAGAGGGCCTCACTTTTGTAACTCAGGCTGGCCTTTAACTCCTGGCTTCCTCCTACCTCAGCCTCCTAAGTGCTAGGATTACAGGCATGTGCCACCACTCCCAGCCAGAACTGGATTTCAAAAGCACACGGCTTATCACTGCATCCTAAAATTATAAAACATTAATGTGATAAACCTCATTCACCTTTTACATTTTCTTCCATAACTATATGTCTGAATTATTACATAATACATTTATTTTTAAAAAACCTTCTTCTTTGTTAAAAATATCCACCAAAAAATATGAGACTTACTCCTCAATTTGTTCTTTTGTGCAGAACCCTAAATTTCTGCAGAAGGGGTGGTCATTTTCAAGACTGGCGCCCCCTGTGCAGAACCCGGGACCAGCCGCACAGCCCCGGTGCCTCGCTAACCGTCCTCCATGCTGAATGCTGCGAAGCGCCCTGGAGCAGCTGCGCGGCAGTGCGGGGCCTGCTGCTCTTGCTCTCTGTACTTGACTCTGGCTCATTTTTTTCTCCTTATAGTAAATGTTCATCAGGAAGATAATCTATCTGAAACTAATTTTTTTCCTTGTTTATTATAGGTAAATAATTTTGCTTTTTTGACCCAAAAGAAAAAAGAAAAAAAAAAAAAAACACACATCTTCTAATTTCACAAAGAAGCGAAGTCATACCTCTCCAAATCTTTTCCAAATCTCTCAGGTCTAAATCTGAATTAGTTTTGGTATTCCTCCCTGGCTAAATCAAAATATCTTCATAAATGTTTAAGAAAATGGCAGTTACCTCTTGATTATATAGTCTATGCATGTTTCTGCTTCTAAAAACAAACATTCATGTATCACATCTCATTTTTTTCCCCAAAAGTAAAAACTTGTTTTACTGGAGTTTCTGTGCCATCATTACTGAATGTCTAGCCACAGAGGAATTTGGAATAATCTCCTAACTACAAATGTTCAAGTTATAAAGCAGGAGGAAACTCCCAACCCCACCTACTACACACATTCAAGATACTTCCGTGGGGACACTATGTAGCAAGCTTTTCAATGCATTTAAAAAAGTATTTCCTTTCTTTAAGCAAGAAATCAAAGTTAACAAGGGCAGGGGCTCTTAAAATTCTATAGTAAAAATTATTTAAATTCATGTAATTTTCTTTTAAGAACTGGAAATAATGAAATTCAAACAAGCTCACCTTGCATATGGGATGTATGACAAACTGTACCTGCAACAGAGAGTCAAGCATGTTAACATGTGCTCTACACTGCTGCTTACTTTACACCAAGAGGCTGCGTCTACCACCGCAGCACAGCGCTCCTAGAGGCTCTCAGTGTGATTCCAGACCAAAGGGAAAGGTTTTTTTTTTTTTTTTTTTTGACCAAAGGGAAAGGGTCCCTTGTTTAAAACTTGGAGCGTTAGGCCCCATCCAGATATCTTCAATCTCAAGACTGTTTTATTCATATCATCTGGTTTTGTGTTTTTTTCCATTTTTTGTTTTTTGTTTTTCAGTACCAGGGACTGAACCTTGGGCCTTAGGCAAGCTGGGTAAGTGCTCTTCCACAGAGCAATGGCTCTAGACCACTATTACCAAACACTCCAGTCAATTCTGACGCACACCAAACTGTGGGCATGCCATTATAAAGTTACTTTTATTTTTTTAAGCAGAAATATAAAATAACTGAGAAATACTATATTCTTCTTTAGGAATAAATCAGTTATCGAATAAAAATTAGGAAAAAAGGTCAAAAGGAGAGAAAATAACCAAGAGATTCCATTTCTCCATATTGCAGTGAAAAAACATCAACATTATACAGTAACTGAAATATGTGGACAGTTATAAAGGAATAGGGTCAAAAGAACAACTGATTCCAGGCTGGAAAACAAATAAAAAGAGATTTAAAATTGTAAAACTAGGGAGAGGTTAGTGGTATTAGGAGTCAAGCAAGACATACCTCTAGGAAACAAAGGCAAACATTATCTAATATGGAAGAGGGCAAGGAGCCTGCAGAGGCATATTCAGTCAGACCAAACTTCACAGCCTTGACACAGATGGACCAGATGGGGGCAGGATACACAAAGGGCTGCGAGGAACAGGACAGTGTCCCCAGGGAGATGTGCACTCAGGTGCTTAGAAAGTGGGAGAGAAAACTGCCCGTAGAAGAATACTAGAGAACAGCACTGAGCAAGTGTTCAAGTCACTGCCCATGTAGAAAGCATCTCTAGGTTAGCGCAGGACCACATAACGCACATGAGGAGTAGCTCCTACTTGCAAGTACCCAGGACAGAGTGCAGGATGCCTGGTGAACTGATCTTCACTAAGGTCATCCTGTGATTTGGCCTCTTCTGTAACATCATGGGCACTGTCCACATATCAGTTTTTGTTCCCAGAACACATCACCTTACTTCTATGTGAGTACACCTCAGAGCCTCCTAAAGGTACCATTTAGGCACACTCATCAACTTAGGACACCTCACGTTGTCTCCCAAGGTCTAGCTCCAAAGCACGCTTCTAATCTCTATTTTCAGAGTTTGGCAGATTCCAAACAAAAAGCTTCACATGCCATTCCACACCATTTTAACTTTTTAAGTAGCACTTGAGAAGACTTACCAGGTCATTGACAAGAACTGCAATATGCAGAATAATAAGGCCAGTCCCTTCTTATGCCACTAGCAAGAACAAAAACAGGAATCAATTCAGGACTTTCAAAAATACTTTTTACAATTAAGTTCAATTTTAGTCTGACACAAACTTAAATACTCAAAGTACATATTTCCAAAACTCTATTAAATGTCACTACAATAACTATGTATCAAAGTAATAAACTTTTAAAGGTTAGATCTTTAAAAAATTGATGTTAATGTTTTTAGGATCAACAATTAAAATCCCTTTTACTCAGACCATATCTCATTATGGAATTTACTTATGTCTCCCTGTTCTTTTTCTTATTTTCTTTTCTTTTTCTTATTTTCTGAAATAAAACTTTTTTTTTTTTGTATTTTAGGGCAGGACCTACAGGGTGTTCAGGGTCTCACTACTAGATTGGGCTTGTAGTGATCCGCCTGTTTACAGCCTCCCAAGAGCTGGGATTACAGGCTGCGCCACCACACCCAGTCTCAATTGCTGTCTCAGTACACCCCAGGGGTGGGGCCAGCACATCTGCTCGCAGGCTCTTTAATCTATTGAGCTATTTGGCTGGCCCTTGAAATAAAACTTTATTCTTGAGATCTTCTGGAATATAAGCAGTTTCCATGTTGATTATTTCTCAAAATTAATCTATTTTGGGAATGCTTGTCTATCATTTTTTTGGTTTCAGGGCAGAGGCCTAAACCCAGGACCTTGTGAATGCTGGACAAACACACTATCCCCAGCACTACTGCTGTTTTTATTTAGTTGCTTCTTTATTTTTAATCTGCTTACAAATAAGATGCTACAATATCCCCAGATGTAAATCAATGTTTCCTAGAGAGCTACAGAAGTTTTTTTCTTTTTCTTTTTAATACTGGGGATCTAACTCAGGACTTTGTGCTTTGCACTTGCCAGGCACGTGTTTATGCTGCTGAGCTATCTCTCCAACTGTAATAGATTTTATAGAATATTCTTTATCATTAGGAAAGGAGACCTAAGTGAATCTTTACACCATAGAAATAAAAAAGAAAATCAGAAATTTCTTTTTTGTTTTTTGTTGGAACTGGGGATTGAATTCAGGCCTTTGTGCTTGCAAGGCAAGTGCTTATTCTACTGAGCTATCTCCCTGGCCTACAGACATTTCTAACAGAACATTTTAAAAGTACATTGCCTTTCTTTTTTATTTATTTATCTTATTTTTTTTTTTTTTTTTTGTCCTGGGAATTGAACTCAGGACCTTGTGCTTACCAGGCAGATGCTGTACCACAGAGCTATACTCCCAGTCCAGCACTTCTTTAAAAACGTGTTATTTTCCTCATAGCTTAAGAATTACCACCAGGCCCTTTGGCAAACAGGCATGGCACAATAAACAAAACTAAGTCTCAAGAGCTGGAGTAAGTGAAGTGGGCTATAATAATGTAACTTCCTCGAGGCTAATGAAGAGCTATTCATTTACCTGTATTTGGGTTCTTTTGTCTCTTTAGTTATATTCTTCTATTTTCACGGCCTCTTCCCTGATGGTTTGACCATCTTGTCACCCATTCCCTGTTCCTGCCTCTTCCTCCTCTTCTTCCTCCATCCTCCTAAGCCACAAGGTCACTGCACAGCCCACAGCAATCACAGAAGACAGAGAACCCAGACCCCCGAGAGGTCTTTTTCCATCCAGATGGTGTCAGAGATATCAGCCCAGCCTCAACAATGTGAGCTTGTGAGGATTTACACATTCAACAATTACCTGTGCCTACACTGAAGACAGCAGACTCCACTGTATGACTAGCCAACTGGACTTACAAATCATGCTTTAGGAACACCTGATCTTTGTTTGTTTGTTTGTTTATTTATTTATTTATTT